ATTATGAAGGGATGAAAAAGGAGTAACTTGAAATGAGAAGCACTAGATCCAAATAGAATAAGGTTGGAAGGTAAGAGCCTTTCCAAATTGTAAATAGTTTCCCATAAGAAACAGTGGAAATCCCATTGCATGAGTCACCTGAAAAGTGATTACAGAAGAAAAACACTAAAGACCATGCTGCAGTTGGTGGCTGCGTAGGGATTAGCTTAGCTCTGCTTCCATCATCTCAGGGCTGTCTAGACATGCATACCCTAGAGATGATGAGTTCACAATAGAATTTTGACCACAAATTCCATGGAGAATGTAGAAGAGCCTCCAAAAAGTAATAGCAGAGTCTGGATTGGAAAGATTTTTTGTAGCATTTTAGCATTCAGTAGGGCATGGATGAGGATGAAGGAAATCATGGTTACTTTCAAGACTAATTTTCTAGAGGTCTTTAGTGCATGGTTCAAGGAATTGGCTGATAGCTGGAGCACATGCAATCTATCTCATGGTGGATTGTTTTGTTTCAGACAACAGACAGAGGTTTTGAATACTAAACTGGAGATGAGGGGGGTATCTATGAACTTGAGATATGGGCATACCCTCATTAACAAAACCTCTCGGGAGAAGGCCATTTTTACAGTGTTTCTCTGTGCACCCAGTCCCTCCTCTTTTCCTTCTTTTCCTGTGTCTAGCTGAAAGTTTTGTTTAAACAGCATTGGCATTGGGAGAGGTGTGAAGCATTGGAGAAAAAATATTTAAAAACAACAACACAGCAAATTATATATTGAACCAAACACTTACAATGTCCTAAAGGTTTTATGAATCCAAGGAGGTGCCACTGTGGGACTTGACTGGAGAACTATTCTTTATCTTCTGTTCAATAGTACAACAAACCTTTAAACCCTAAATAAAAGATACAAAATATGTGGAAATTCATAATAGAAATTCCATTATATGGAACTTACCATCCCTCCCTCCAATATGTAAATGAAAATCCTACTACGTTACTCAAAGTGAAAAACTGCAATCCTGGGAAATGGGTACAATTTCTCTTTGTTTATATCTATCCCCAAACTGTTTTAGGCAGAGGTGAGACCTTTGTTAAACCAGGAATTAAACCAGAATTTGACTATCAGTTTACCTCCTGCTTTGAAAACCATCTTTCCTGGAATCTAAAGCACCCTGCAGGAAGCAAACATATGGCAAAAGCACCCTTCATGCCCCCTATAGAGTATGGGGTTGGAAAATGGCAAGAGGGTGGCCATCAGCATTCCTGTGGGGACTATCTAGAGCAAAAATTGAGGAGGATTCCTGTACCTTTAATAGTTCTGTAGACGAAGGAATTTCAGCTGGTGTTGCTTGTCACCTGGTTGAATGATGAGCAACACCTGCTGAAATTCCCTCTTCTACCAACTATTAATGGTACAGGAGCCCTCCAGTTTCCAATCAGGCAACTCTGTCCAGTTTCCCACCTCTTATAACCAAAGAGACAAGTACACTCGGCCCTCTACATCTGAGGCTTTTACTTTTGTGGATTTGATTAATATGTTCTCTTCAGGAATCTCTAGTTCCTCCAGTGCAATTCTTTAGTCAACATCCACCAAATGTCACGCTAGGAGACCTAAAGATTCCTAGAGAGAACACTTCTCTAAGCACATGCAGGTCCTCCATTGCAATTCTATGGTCAAAATTGGCAGATGTTGACCATATTGTTCCACAGGAGGACTTAGAGATTCCTAGAGACATGTTCTCACAGGTAAAAAAAAGTGGGCTTTTTTAAATTTGCAATTTTCCCACTTTCACAGGTGTCCTGTGCTCCTAGTGGAGGGTCCACTGTATGTGCTTAAATTGTCAAGCAGGTATCTGCTTTGGCACTTGGGTTGTGAGTGTCATGTGGGATAGATGTCTTAGCATGTGGGGAAACTACTCTTGACATATGGGATATAGCAGAATAGAAACATAATAAACAACCATATTGTTGTGTGCCTTCAAGTCATTTCTAAAGTGACCCTACAAGATTAGTAGAGGGGGTTTGCTATTGCCTTCCTCTGAGGCTGAAAATGTATGACTTGCCCAAGGCCACTGAATGGTTTTCCATGTCCAAGGGGATTTGAACCCTCGTCTCCAGAGTCATAGTTCAGCATGCAAATCACCACACCAGCACTGGCTCCTAAAAAAAACATATTAGCCACTGTTTAAATCTGCTGCACAGGTTTTGGTCTGTTCACATCAAACTTTAATTTTATTTCTTCCATGTTTTTTTTAAAAATACTAGGCAGCAATATCTGAAACACCTTCTGGCTATAACTTCATTTAACTTCATAAGAGATACTTAGCTGTCTTCCTGAAATCATTTTTTGAGAGCAAGAGAGAGAAAAAAGTGAGGAAATTTTCTTAGGAAAGACTATTAGAAAACCATTTTAATCTTTAACACTGAGAAGTTCAGGGATGGACATATTACATGATGCCTAATGGAAATATAATTTATACTTGAAATTGGGAATGTAGACTTGGTGAAGTTGTCCCCACAACCCACATCGAAATAATTTTATGAAAAAGCTTGCCCATTAAATTGCTTATTTTCTTTTAAAAACCTGATCTTGTAGGAAAAAAAAGTGCTTTCTCTCTGCTACTGTGCCATTTTTTGGGAGGGGGGGCTAATTTGGTCTGCGCTTTGGACTACAACTGGCGAAACGTCAGAAAGAAACTCTTTCAGAACATGGCCACACAGCCCGAAAAAAACCCACAAAAAAACTATGGATGCCGGCCATGAAAGCCTACGACTTCACACTCTGGAGATCAAGGTTCGAATCCCCAAACAACCATGGAAACCCACAAACTCTCAGCCTCAGAAAAACCTGCAACAGGCTTGCCTTAGGGTTGTCATAAGTCCCAAATGACTTGAAGGCACACAACAACAAGAGATTCAAGGAAACTATTGGATAAAACTAGTTGGGCTGGCTTCTGTCTTTCTGTGTTTCTTCTATTATCATTTAAATCTCAATAGGCATCGGATTATGAAGTTTCTGCAACACATGTGTGCTTTTTTCTTGGTACTGGTTTTCCAGAATGATTTGTTAATGTATGGAGGGGATGGTGGTGTTTTGCCTGGTGTTTTACAGTGCAAATCTATTAATGTCTCCTGCAAAATCAAGTTCCACTGGTTTCAATGACAGCTATACCTAGGTAATTCTTGGATTGCAATACTATACCCAGTTTCCTGGGATTTTACAGGCTTGCTTTGTTAATGATGTAATTCAAGAGTAGGGCACCTTCACTCTACCAAATGCTAATGAATGTCAACTCCCATCATATCTCACCATTGGTCAAGTTGGTTGAAGGGTATCTGAGTTCAGCCACATCTGGAATGGCAGCTGCAAGGATATTATCACATGGGGGAAATCTGTTGGTTAATCCACACAAATCCCAAACAAAAACTGAATTTGTGCCTCACGATTTCATACAATGTCTCATAGAAAGTGGTCAGAAACTGGATAGAAACTGGTATTATCTGAGATCTTTTTAATT